CGTGAGGTCTCCTCGCCGCCGGGTGGATCGATGCGATTTTCCACCCAAACGCCCTCGCGAGGGGTGCTCCCGTCAACGGCCTGCGAGGCCGCATCCTGCAGGGCCTTGGCGGCATACCGTGAAAGACCCTCCCCCCCAGTTGCACAGGGCTCATCTCGACGGTGCGTTTCCAGCGCGTGAAGCATCCGATGGAAGGCCTCCAGCGCCTGCGAGGAGCGCTGCGCGTAGGCCTCCATCGTGCGAGGGGGGGGCGGGCGACCAGCCGCTGTGGGAGGCCTTCGGCGGGGCGCTTTTCGGCGTCGTTGCCGTCGCCGTTGACGGCAGGGGCGTTTACAGGGGGAATTGCCACCCCCAGGGCGCAACTCAGCCTCCGGGTTGGGGGGGCCTTTTCCTCCTTTGCCTCAATTTCGCACGCCTCAGCGCCGACGCGGGGAAGAGGGCCATTGGTGAGCCCTGGTGGAGCGGTGGAGGCCATCTTCTTCGAGAGGTGGCGCTGAGGATGGAGCCTATTAGACCAACCCAGACGGCCCGGTGGCGTCGTGCGAGAGACGTCGGGGAGGCCAGGCAGACTATCCGCTTCACCCCGGTTCATCGAATCCCCATTTTCATCGTACATCCAGCTGAGCATCATGGTGCTTCGGAGATGACCTTTGGGCACCGCGGCGTCGGGGATTCGGCCTCGAAGCGCGCCACGGGGTGCCCCTCGGACGTCCGGCGGCGGCATCATCACCCCTGTCGTTCCTAGTGTGTGCAAAAAGGTATAGATACTTCCCGGCGCGCGCTTCACCGCATCCAATTCGTCCTGTAACTTGTTATTGCGATCGTGAAGCAGCATGAACGTCCGGTCGCGGAATTGATGTTGATATCCAATACCTTCACTCTGCAGAATGCTTCCCTGGCTAGATTCTCCAGACTTTTTTCCCATGATAACGGGCAAATGGAGAGCCTCCCCACCTTCGCAGGACGCGCTCGCGCGATCGATGGGTTCTGAACCCACCAAAGGCCCTTGGTTTTCGCCAGTCCAAGCTGAGGAAGCATCGGAGTCGATGTGGGTGGTTGGGATTCTGGAGCCTCCCGTCGTTGGCGGTGTAGTCAGCGCAAGCTGAGGATGCGTAAGCACGGAGCGGCCGAGACTCAAGCACCATGCCGCCTCGACCAGATGTCCTTGGCGTATGAAAGTTTTCGCTAGGAGATGCGCTTGCGATACGTAGAGAAACGACTCAAGGAATCGGACATCGTCACTATAAGCATCCCCTTCAAGTATGTTGTTCAATTGTTTAAAGTCCCTTTTGAGATCGTTCACTGAAAGCATTAACAACTGCCCTGATGTTATTGTCCTCTTTGCTTTTAAAATTTTATGAGGAAACAATCGAAAGCAGGAAGCAAACAAGTAAACACAATTGGGAATATAATAGGAAATGATCATAATAGTGCGATACTAAAAAATGTCTAATGCCTCGAAATAAAGGTAGAAAACCTGAACAATAATAGTAGGCTGCTTCATACTATTAATATCACTCAGTTTTTTTATTACTCTATGGCCATTGGTTTGGACCCTTGCTTTCTAACAAGGGGACTGCGATACCCGACAACGCTATTTCTATGAACAGAGGTGCGAGTCGGAGTACCTTTCAATTGACTATTTTGCCGCACTGCTGTCAGGATAGGATGCGATCTGAGGCCGCCAAGTGGCGCTGCCTCATCAAACCCACCCCAATGGAGCAACTCCCATAATATTCACCGCGAAGAGATACAGCTTCCACAACGGGCCAGGGATGGATACATGCAGGAATAATGTCTGCATGCATGAAGAGGAGTACATATTCTCTGCCATTGCTTACATTTAGCCGACACGTTTTCCCTGCTAAAGATGGGATAAAAAAGTCCGGAAGCACGCCTCTACCTATCCCTAGAAAATGAATTGCGGTAATCGATGCAGAAGCTTTCCCAGCTGGGCCCCAGCGAACTCAGCGATCATTTTCTTTACGCCATGCCGCTTCCCCTTGGCGACCGATTTGCCGCGCACATTCCGTAGCCGTCTGCCAACACCGGTGGATGCCCCGCCCCTGGAGGCGCCGCCGGAGGGCCCCTTCGCGCCTTCCGAGGCCGGACGCTTACTCGGCGGCGGGAGCTGGTATTGGTACGCGCGCACGCAGACCGGGACCGATCTGGAGTTCCCGCTCTGCAGGGGCTCCAGCGTTCCGAGGGGCTGCCGAAGCGCGGGCACCTCTTCCCCACCCGTGATCCTTTGCGAGCGTTGCTCCTTCTGAATCGAGGCGACGCACACGTTCTCGTACTCCCTGAAGGTCTTGTCAAAGAGGTCTAGATCGTTCGTCCATAACTTGACCGGGGACGTTTTCTTCAGCACCTCGAGATTATCGCGGACCTTGTCGATCTCCTCGGTGAGCTTCTCCAGGCTGGTCTTCGTGAAGAAGGTGATTGGGCGCTTCAGGATGTAGTCGTACTCATCCTTCACCTTCACCATCCCAAGTTTGGCGCAAAGCCGTGTAAGGGACTCATCCGTGGCGTTGATGAAGTCAATCTTCCCTGCCCGGAAGTGCTCGACAAACTTCCGAGTCGACTGGAGCTGCGCCAGCTCGTGCTCGAGCAGCCCCAGCTTTCTCGTGCGTCGCTTCTTGTACAAATCCAAGCGGCGGTCATAATGCCACTGCAGAATCGGCGCCAAATCGCCCTCGAGCGGGGAGAGGACACCGTTCGGAGAGAAGACCGTCGCGTTCAAATAGATCTTCTGGTTCAGCGACAGGTCGCCCTCGACCTCGGCCCACGTCGTGACGCTTCCTTCCCGTAGATAGAGGTCGATATCGATGTGATTCGCCCCCGAATAATCCGCAATGCGCTGCACCACATCCTGGCTGGCAAGGCTCGAGACGTGCTGCCGAAAGGCCTCAATGCTCATCGTCCATGGTAGCTCGCTGATGTGAAAGCGTCCGCCGCGGTAGGCGGCGTATTTGCCTGAACAGAGAAATTCCCCTTCCGGCCCGCGCTGCACCTTCCCCTGGAAGCCCACAGCCCACGGCACCAATCGCTTCACCACCTGCTTCGCGGATTCCCCGTTGATCATGCTCCGCACCACCGCGGAGACGTCGAGCGGGTGAAACGAAGGAATGTTTGTGGCGAAGCCGAACCCGATCCCCACCGTGCCGTTGCATAGCAGCAGGGGAATGATCGGCACGTAGTGGTTGGGCTCCGTCAAGGTGCCCTCTTCCTCCATGTAATCTAACAACGGGTCGTCCTCGCTCGGGAAGAGCAGCCGCGCGAAACGGGAGAGTTTCGTGAAGATGTATCGCGCCGCCGCGTGGTCGTTACCGAGCTGCTGCCGCGAGCCGAACTGCCCCTCCGGGACGAGGAGGTTGATGTTGTTCCCCCCGGTGAAGTTCTGCGCCATCTTAACAATCGTCTCCTGCAGCGACACCTCACCGTGATGGAAGGCGGCGACCTCGCTGATGTAGCCGGAGAGCTGCGATACCTTGGCGGCCTCCAAGGAGCCACGCTTGAACATCGCCCACAGGATCTTGCGCTGGGAGGGCTTCAGACCGTCGACGCAGTGCGGGATGGCGCGCGTGTTCCCAATCAGCGCGAAGTGCACCATTTCCTTGTGTACAAAGTCAGGGATGCTCAGCACCTTCTTGCTTCGGTCGATGTCAACCTCCCCGTCAAACGCGTTTGCTTTGGTCATCCAGTCCTTACGCCACTCCACTTCGGAAGAGTCGAAGACGCTGTCAAGCAGCTTGTGGTCCTTCTGTTCAACGACTAGCTTCATCACGTTATTATCCATGTTCGAGAAATACTCCTTACCCTCGGCGGTCGTGGATGTGCCGAGACCCTTGTAATACTTGGCTGTGAATTTGACATGGGGGTTATTCCGCTGCCATTTGTGAAAATCCTTGAGGCTATAAAAAGGTATCAGATCCTTAGACTTGCCCGAGACGCGGATCTTCACAATGGGGGTTGAAAAAAGTGAAATGTAGCCGGGATTTCGCTGCAAGAGCAAGGGCCATAGGGACTCAAAGGCGTTGATCACAAGACCTTTGATGTGCGACCCGTCCGCATCCTGGTCAGTCATGATGAGGATACGTTGATACCGCAGCTCGGAGGCATCGCGGTAGACTCGTCCAAGCTCGAGACCCAGCGCCAAAAACAGGTCCTGGAGCTCCTTGCAGGTTTTGAGGCGCTTAAGATTTTTATTCCTCACGTTAAGCAGCTTCCCGCGGAGTGGGAAGACCCCGCAGAACTTCTTCTGTTCACTGCTAAGCGAGTTGAGGGCAAGCGCCTTGGCGGAGTCGCCCTCGGTGACGATGAGCGTGCGAAGGTTATTCCCATCCGAGCGGGTCTGCGTCGCGTCCACCAACTTCGTGATGGATGAAATGAGGGATTTGCTGCTTATCCGCCTACCGGCGCCGATTTCCCGGTTAATCTCGTTCGCAAGCGTATCATCGTAACTGTTGACATTCGCGTTCAAAAACGGCATTTTTTTGAGGTAGGTCTCCAGATCCGCCCGTGGTACACGCGGCATCACGACCGATGAGACCAGTCTGGCCTTGCTTTGGGAGTCAAATTTGGGCTGCGACTGCGTAATAAATACAAGCACGGTGAAGTGCCGACTAATCCGGGCGATATCCACGATCTTCCCCTCCTTTTTCAGCGACCTGGCGAGGTTTTCCAGACTCCCACCGAGGATATCATAGGCGGCATTGCAGTGTGTGCCGCCGTTGTAGGTCACCACACCGTTCACAACGCCCACAAAACGCTTAGGCCCCCCACTCAGCTGCGGTACGAACGCTATGCTGCCATTCCGACTTTCATAAACAAAGGGCTCGGGTGGTACACTGCCATCACTGCCCGTCAGGGAGTAGAGTGAGGCGTAGTCTTGGAAGGATTTAAACCCGAACGGAACACCGTTCAGCTTGATCTCAATGCTAGGGAACATCGCGGCGAGGTCCATAATACGCTTGTGCAGCACACGTGTCATGTCCGCCGATATTTTGCCGTCCGGAAAGCCGAAATGGGCGTAGTCCGGTAAAAACCTCACGAACGTTCGGTTCTTATGACCCGAGTCGACGTTGCTGACACGTGGGGCTGTCGCCTTGCGCATGTGATCCGTCCACGTCATGTGGAATTCCTTCCCATTTGTACAGCAAATAACACTGAATTTGATGGATAAAATGTTGGTAAGCTTTGCACCGTAGCCGTGCCGACCTGCGGTGGTTGAGGTCTCATCGTTGTCATAGTTCGAGCTTGTTAGGAGATGCCCAAAGATCATCTCCGGGATATAAAGCTTGTGCTCCTTGCTGCGCATAATCGGAATACCCGAGCCGTTGTTCTCAATGGTGATTTCGCCGTTATCTGATATGTCGATGTGGATGTATGTCATCTTCTCCTTCCCACGCGATGGACTATTGTTAATGTTATCCGAAGCATTCAGCAGAATCTCATCCACGATCTTCAAAAGACCCTGATTGACTTTCAGGGTCTCCCACACCATCTTGCCTTTTACCGGATCGAAGACAAACATTGACGTCGGCTGCGTCTCGATACTGCCGACGTACATCTCGGGCCGGAGCAAGATGTGGTCGATAGGGGTGAGCTTCTTGTATTTGCTTGGGTCCGCCATTTTGTGTAATGTGTATATCACCCGTAAAGTATGATAATATATTCTACCCTTCTATGCGATGTAGTGTTATCGAAAATGTAAAACTAGCTAAAGTAGTAATAGTAATAACAATACTGATGCTCTATGTCTATTTAAAATCTATAAACCCTCGTTAATAGTGGTACTATATATCGTCCTTTTAGTTCTAACCACTTCCACGCGTGCCTTATCACGCACCTTATTCTTTACTTATTACCTTGGGTTATGTAGTCCCTATAACAACTCAAGCGGGCGAGATAAGAGTGAACCGACTAACCCCCTTGTTATCTACAATAGTGGTAGTAATGGTAGTGCATTAAAAAAAAAAACGAATAAACGGAGTGTTATGTTGAGAGAGGGAGAGCAAATCGACTATCACATTGATAAATCCCAGAAAAGAGAAATTATACTTCTCAGTGTTCGTTAATACATTTTTTCGGATTTTTTTTCATAGAGCCATTCTTTCAGTCCACTTTGCAGGGCAACAAAGATGAAAATCTACACACCTTATATATAAATATATAGATATATAGATATATATGAATATTATATATAGTAAATACGTGTACAAAGGGTTGCATTTTACATACCATAATACAACCAATAAATCCTGCTGAGGTTGTTGAATGACAAAAAGTGAAAAGAGCCTCTGTGATACCTTCCCCCCTCCTCTGCACGCTCAGTAATGCATTGACACAACAAGCAAAATTGAAAATCTAGCAGAAGAATCATGATATGATTGACAAAAGAAACGAGGGAAGGAGGAGATCAAATTGTTTTCGATAGTTAAGAAATACCTTGTATTGCACCATCGAACCACTTGCGTGCAACATTAAACAAAGGGATATGAGGGAAAATAGCCTCAAACATCATCTTATATCCCGCAAGAAAGCAATGGACTCGAAAGACCAAGTTGATAGGGTAAAAAGCATCACAACAAGATGAGAAGGGCAGACCACACAAAAAAATACCTGAAGCAATAAAATGCCACCTCACATGCACGTTTCCTCCATGTCCTAATCTCTCGTTTCTTTTTTATTTACGCCTCACTTTCACCTCTTCTCAATGAAGTTACGGATATACACATCCTTTACGTAACTGCATAGCCTCCTGAATTTTGTGAGCGTCCTACCTAGGATACCGGCATCCACATGATATACAAGGTGCTGTGTTGTTAGCACGGAAAACGGAAAAAAAAGTAATGGGATAGCAGAAGGAAAAACGGGACCCGTTTTCGTGGGAAAATGCATGGTGGTACATTTCCCATTTGACATATTCATGTATACGTATGTCATACCCAATATGGGTGAATTGGAATCAATTACTCGAGATCTTGAGCCTTGGGCTGTTGTGTGCAACGTACCGCGATCCAGGCTTTTCTAGTGGACGCGGGTGATTCAACATAAGGCTTGGTATAAATCCACTGTTGTTCGGAGTGTGATGCCAAAAGAGGGCGATGTACTGATCCCACTGATCGAAGTGGAGGGGCAATTCCGTGAGCATCATGATGCCGTAATTGTGGCCAGACTTCACTCGATAGTTGAGGGCTGTCGCAGGCACATGCGTAATGCGTAGTATCTCCTTCAGAGCGTCATTCACGGTGGTTTTTGGGTTCACCGTGATGATGAAGGGGTGGCCAAAAATTTGTGGGGAATCCTGAAGGTACTCTCCATGACAGCACGCGATCCGCTGCTCCCCCGGTCTGAGTGGCGCGGCCGGTTGGAGATCGAAGTCGTAGTCCACGAGCGATGAACCCAGACGCGTCTCCTCCATTTTTCCGCTAGCGGGGTCGGTCGAAGTGCCGCTCTTGGAGATGCTCATCATGGGAACCTCCAGGATGTGTCGGATCAGTTTTTTATCTCGGTCGTAGGCGAGAAGCACGTAGTGCGGCGCGGCGAGTGTCTCCTGGAGGGTTCCCCATGGATTCTCCTCCATTTCATACGGCCGAATCGACTGCCGCACGGCCCGCACGACCCCCTGCAGCGTCGCAGGGGGGGGCAGGACGTAGCGCTCGCAGTGCAGTGCGTGGCCGGCCCGATCGCGCAGCGTCACCACCACCTCGGGGCTCCGCTCCACGAGCGAACGCGGCAGCGCGAGACGCTCGTAGTACAAAACCGGGCTTGGAACGTAGCTATCCAGCAGCAGCACGTCGAGGGTGGCGGAGCTGGAGCTCCGCATCGCACGTTCGGCCGGCCTCGGCATCGTCGGGCTCGCGTTTCGGTAGAGGCGAATTCGGTTGGG